CTGTACCAGCACCGGTCCAAGGGGAAATAACTGTGCTTGAGAGTTTTGCTGTCATGCAGTAGTGCCTGACAATTATATGCCTTTCACATAGAGAGCAGCATACATTTTATGTTCACGGGGTGTAAAGACAATAAATTATTTTATGTTAATTAGTTGTGACTGGAATAAGCTTTAAACAGGTTATACAAAGGTTTTCAGTCCCACAGATGTATTTCAGTTTTTCGTTTCTCTGCAGGTTGGTGGGCTTTTTGTTTGTTTTGCTCATGGCTACAGGTGCAAATGGAATTGGAGAGAAAAAAACAGCTTACAGAAGTCTGGAATTGAGAGTTAAAAATACATTACAATAAATAAAGCTGTATGGCTGCATATATGTGTGGTTTTAAACTGCAGCATTAAATCAAGACCCCCCAATCAAGATGCTTCCATCTCAACCCAAGAGCAGTAGGAACAGAAAACTGCTGAGTTCTAACTTACAAGCAACTTTATCCTGACTTTATAATTCAAGATAGTCACAAACGTAGACTACACTCCATGTTCTGGACTGTCTTTGCAATTAATATTCCTATCCTGATGAAATCAAATTAAACTATTTTCACATGATTTTACAGTCCTGTCCAAACTGKGGCTCTATTAATTTCTGAATGCAGTCCTTGACCATAGGAAACTAGGAGCAAAAGCCTAGGGATTTTTTAATTGACTTGATGCAGATTTGCCATCCAAGTATTTTTATAATTTTACCTAACAGCAGCTCTCATCTGTGTATTCTGCATTAGAGTTAAAAAAGGCTCAAAATCTGTTCTAAAGTGACAACAAAGGAATAAGGAAGGCTTATCTACAAGATTTTTTTTTTGGTGAACAGGCACAAACAAGCTTCTATCAAATAACCAAACATCATTTTGATGCTCAGAATTATTAATGAAAACATTCAACTACGTACAGTAGCCCTCATCCTCACTCCTTCCAGTATACCAGCAAGTTAACATGCAAATTAAAAACAAGGAGCAAGGACAAGAATTGTATTGGATGTTTGTCGAAACTGCAATTCTGCTTTCAGTTTAACACTGAAAAATTGTAATCAAGGAAAGGCAATTGTTTCCTCGCAGCAACCTCTTCTCTGCGTTTGAAAAAAACTGTTGTTTCAGGAGAGAAGCTGAGTATTTGTCAATTAAAAAAAAAAAAAAGAATCAGACTGGGCTTAGTAGGCAAAGTTGTACTTGATGATCCTACAGATCTTTTCCAATGTTTAGGATTCTATGACTCTATAAGTAACATCTTTAAACCTATGTTAAGGTCTCACAAAAAACTTCTAAAAAGGCAAATGACTTTACACAGTAAATCAAATATGCTGTGTCAGGTCAGTACCAAATGACTGAATCCCAAGACAGGCTTCTTTTATTGAAGTTGATAAAATCAGAAATTTGTTTTCAAGAACACTGGATGTTTATTTGAAAGAAATTTTTTAAGAAAAAAGATTTAATGTATATTTTAGTACTCTGCAATCCCTGAATATTATACAAGCTTAAATGCAAAAATAACATTTCTACTTACAGCAAACTCCTCAGGCGTTACTTTCAACACATCAAATACAACTGCATCGTAGCTTTTATTGGCATAATCTGAACTTCTCCCTTCCAGAGAATCAGAGCTGCTACTATCCTACAAAGGAAAAATAGGAGGCTTATCTGCAGAATGATGAATTTCATCTCAAATTCAGTAAATAAATACGTATAAAAATACTAAGTAACTACACAAAAATGTATGAACTTCAAAGAGTTTCAGACACCAAATTATAAAATTTAGTTTTGCACTGTTCACCAACGTTTCCAACTTTCTTCTGCAAAAAMTACAGTGACATAAAATTTTAGCTCTATTACATTTTCAGCTCTAGCAAGCCATTTATAAAATCATGGACTAAATAAAAGAGCTGCCACACAAAAGGAAATGTGGTGGGATTTTGAAGATCCACATCCCGTAGGATTTTTAAAATTAAATACGCTATGTAATGAGTGGGTAGATCCAAGTCAAGCTGCTTTATCCATAACATCATAACAAAGGGAAAATTGAGACATTCTGACACTTAACCTGCAAACTACTGATCAACCAAGCCTGACATTTGTACTCGTCAAACCCGAGAAGAGAGTGAAGTGGAATTAGCACAGATACGCAGAAAGAGAAGCACTGCCTCAAGTATCTGAGGGTAGTGAAAAAAGAATAAGATTAATACAGTCTTGTTGGACTTCCWAAATACTTTTGACGTGGTTCCTCAATCCAAAGGCACTAAGGCCTAGTAACACAGAAACTGTCCTTGCAATGATAAATAATTCCTTACAAAGCAGTTGTTACAAGCACTGAAAACACATGAATCCAAAAAGCATTGTGTATAGAGTGATGTAAGATGAGTAAGTGATGCTTATTACATATTCAACAATCTGGAAAACCCTGTAGACTTGTTGAAAACTGTGGATCTTCATTTTATTTAATGTGGCAAAACAAAAAACCTGGCAATGAAAAACTAAAAAAGGTCTTCACAAGATTTGAGTAAGTCTGGAAAAGTGAAATATATAACAGACTATTAATACGTTCCTTTATAAACCCACGGTGCACCCAGTTTTGGAACACACATGCAGTATTAGTCTCCATCTTAAAGCTGAAAAGGAGTTCCTCCAATTCCACATCTAAAATGTGTGTTTTACACACAGCTTCACTGTGGCTGATTAGTAATACTTCATCATAATATCAGATGAAAGTAAAAACCAGMAAAATTCAGTCAGGCAGCTAATTCCCAAGCAGTGTTCCACTGGCTGTCATGGAACCACAAACAGGCTGTGCACAACAGCTCAACACAGAGCAGCGTAGTTTTTGGAAGTAGCACCAAAGAGCTGCCTGCTCTCCAAAGGATACAAACATTAAAATGAACAAAATCTTAAGAGCACTTTCTCACTAGAAGTCTAGTAAATACAAATAAAAAGAGGGAAAAAAARGAAAAAATGCAGCTGGATATTTCTGACAGTCTCCATTTTGATGGTAATTACATTGCTCTGAACTCACTAATAAAAAATGGCTGCTCTAAGAAACACAGTAACTAAACAAAATGAGTAATCATCATCATCAATAAAAAATGTGGCTGTGAACAGCAAGAACCATGGAGTGTCCTAAAATTACTCTCATACTATGTTARTTCTTTTTCTTACAAATGGTGTGGTATTTGACTAGCAGTGGAAGGGGCCTCTGTGAAAGCTGAAACAAGCCAACATTTCCATTTTGATACAGAAGCTAATTAAACCCAAGGAACTGTACCTCTGGAGTGGCAGAGGTGACCATCACATTGGCCATGAGGTCATTCCTTTTATACATACTCTCCACAAGATGCAGGAAGTTTCAGTTGCGTCCACACTGGTTGAAAACAGAAATTCCTGCAAAGCAAATTATTTGTGGAATAAATAAAATTTACAAAAAAAACCCCAAAAACCAGAACACACAGAGAAAATAACCAAGCAATACAAGAGATTTCATTTTTCTTTCTCAGAGCAAAGGACTTAGGAAACAAGATTATCTCAAGAGATAGATGCTGTCTTTTCTTTCCCAGGTACCAAATGTGAAGGGGTGTAACTGAATACTGATAAAGCCATGCCAAGTCCTTATTCTTACTTCCACTCAACTCAAGAATTGCAGGGGTAAAAAAAATGTATTTTTCATTTATGATGAATTAGGTTTTCTATGAAGTCCCTCCTAGGCAGTACACATCCAGAAGCTGTAGGCTTCCACAAACTGCTTACACAACTAGCAAGTGAGCTCAAGCTCTGCTGCTCTTTAACTGAGAAAACAAACAGCAGCTTGTGTCATTGCTTTCCACAGCACACATGGATGAGCCCATGGCAAGCACTGCCACTGCTTCCTGTACATGGACTCTTGCAGCAAAATCTGTAATTGCTCATATGTGCAACTAGGAATACTGCCACATGTCCCTCTGTGTCCTTGCATTCCCTCCCACAACACTGATCACACCAAGAGAAAAATTCTGTAAAAGCAGACAGCTAAGAATAAAAATAATCTCCTATTTTACTCTCTTTAGAAAGATGAGGTCTTCACTTCTCATTCGTACAAAGACAAACAATTCTCCCCAGTATCTCACATGAAACAAGTCAGTAATTTTGCTTCAAATAATGCCAAAATCTCTGCTAAACAAGGCAAGATTCAATTTCCTTTATCTTGTCTCCTGAGCACCAACAGACTGCAAAGTATTTCTAAGCTTGGAGTTGCTCTTCTTAACAGTCCTTACAATACTGAAGTGGAAAGTAATTTTGCATATGTAATTTCTTTAAAATGTGGCATTTACATTAAGGCCACAAAAATATTCTTGTGTCCTCCATCCTGGCCTTTCTGAACAGGCTCTCCAGTGAGTGGGGAATCAATAGTGCTGTGAAAGGGGAAGAGAAAAATCCCATATATGAACTTGTATCATGCCCAAGTTCAGTTCTACACCAACTYTTAATGCTCATGATATCAAAATGAGACATCTTTAAATACCTAAACCTAAAACTGCTAATATACTTTCACCTTTCAACATTCAGCAAATACATACATCTTGCAATGCTAGAAACTTTCATTCTAGACAGGATCAAAATAGATTCCCCCCTCCCACACTCACCCTCCCCACAAATGTTTAAAATACCACAAACATTAAAAATGCACCGCTTCTTCCTATGTGCAGAGAGTTCTTCAAGATTCACATCTATGAAAAAATACTTCTCTACACACCCACTTGTTTTGCTACCTTGATGGAAGTCATAGGGAGCAATTAACTTTTAAGTCAAGTCCACTTGGTGATTTGTCTTCCCACCTGCAGAAAGCATCACTGCACACAAACTAACACAGGAGCTAATACTAAGCATACAGTATGAAAAGGCTGTCAGACAACATAGAGAAAGATATTAAAAATAATACTCCCCTGTACTTCAGTATTTCACTCCAACAAGATTAAAAAGAAATTTTTGAAATTCTAAAAATTRTAAAAGGTCTGATATGTTTACAATAAAACATAAAAATTTATTAAAATGACATACAACTTACTTTCAGAGCTTTTGATTCTTAGAATTCCTTTCGAATTGCTCACGTTAGTCATTAAAATGATGCATTACACAAACAGCRCTAAAAATCCAAACTAAGAAAACACTTTATCTGCACAGAAGGTTCACAGGCACACTGCAGTAGACCTGCCTCACAGGCTGCTAAAAGCAAAATGGATAAATCAGGATGCAAACATACATACCACCAGAGGTTCTCAGTTCCTTTTTGCCAACTTGACAAACCCATTTAGATACGTAGCGCTCTCTGAAGGGAAGCTGAAGTTAGTGCAAAAACAACTGGAAAAAAAAACCCAAGAACACTACCATCAAAACCAAACACAAAAGTAAACCTTGTAACTGTTATTCTACCAGCATTTGTCAAGTTTTACCTATAGCTCAGAAGCAACATTCTCTGAAAGCAGAATGCAAATTTTACACTGCTGTTACTAATATGCATGTGAAACAGTTCAAGTGCCCGTAAGTTCAGTCTCAGTGTTAGTTAGCCAACTCACAAGAAAGTCACTGACATTCTTAAGCACAGATAACCACTTCTGGCCAAGAAAATCTCTGTGCCTTAATTTCTGAATGTTAGCAGAGCAATCTGAGGAAATTACTTCACACTGCTTTCAGCATATACAAAAATAATCGTGTCAGCAACCACTGACGATCACTGCTCTTACTGATTTTTTCACTGGAGGGAAGAATACTGAGCTAGACGTGCTTCTTATCAGCCCTAATTTGGCCATTCTGGACTCCACAAGTTAACTGGCTTAGTTGATTTCAAAAACCATTTACTTATTATTTTTATTAGTTGATTATGGCTTTCCTAATACCACTGGATCATGAACAGAGAGCTGCAACATGCCTTTAAGAAAACATTCTTCAGTATTCTACGAAAGGATAACTGATCTTAAGCTTAAATTAGCTGGACACCTGGTTCAGTGAAAACAACCGAAATGCACTCGGACTCTACCTGGGAGGGGGGAGGGTAAACTGGGTTAGAACCAATGGAAGCAACCAGTAGGGTTTGGGGACTCTGTTCCAGCTGGAAGAGAACAGTTCCTGTTGGAAGGGGCATACAGGAATCATCTAGACTCACTGCTTGATCACTTCAGGGATGACCAAAAGTTAAAGCATGTTATTAAGGGCATTGTTCAAAGGCTGTTGAACAATGGCAGGCAGAGAACACCATCTCTCTAGGAAGCCTATTCCAATATTTGACCACCCTCTCAACTGAAGAAATGCTTACTGATGTTCAGTCTGAATCTCCCCTGGTGCTTGCCCCTGGAGTCCAGGCAGAAGAGCTGAGCACCTCCCTCTCTACATCCCCTCTCAGAAAGCTGGAGAGAGCAACGAGGTTGCAGCTCAGCCTCCTTTTCTCCAAACTAGATAATCGCAAAGCCCTCAGCCGCTCCTCAAATGACATGCCTTCCAGAACTTGGTATCAGACATCAGAATGGGTAGCTGTCATGGATCAATACAAGGGAATGAAGAATACTTAAAAAATCTTAATCTTTACCTTCAGGAAGACCAAAAATATACTACTACACTCCACTGGAAATGCCCAGACTAAGGACGTGTTCACAGACCATGTAACAGTTCTGAAACTGTTTTTCACCACTGCACTCATTTTCCTTTTCTTCACTCCCAAACTATTCTTCCAGATGTTCACCACTATAACCTTTCTTTCCTTGATGAACCATGAACAAAGTCAGATGCTGTGGGCATAGAGTACAAATGAAAGTATGTTGTAGAGATAACTACTGGAAGAGGAAAAGGGTTCTATTATGAAAACAGAATGCAACAATAACAGGGTTATATTTCTGCCCCTGTGCTTGCAATCAGTCACTGATGTAAAACTCAAACTCATGTTAACTGAAATGACTCCATGCAAATGGAACAAAAATACAAAGAGGGAAAGCACTGCTGTATAATGTCAAAAGGAACAAAGTGAAAAGCATTTCTGGTTGACAATAGTAATTACAAAAGCAATACATGTTCTCAACAAAGAACAAACAGTAAGTAAAAAAAAACCCAAGCAAAGAAGCCAACACCATCTCGATCCATATCAAGGCAGCTGCAGTGCGCTCTCTCCAGCCAAAGTCCTCCTTCAAACATCATTATCCTTCAAGCAAGTCTGCAAACTTGAATAACTCAGAAGGCCAAGATATATGTGTAGGGAAGTTATACTTTAAGGGAATCGTCATGAAACACACAGTTATACAAAAAGAAACATATATCTGAAATATTACAGTAAAACACTATTATGACTCAAGTTCTCTAAACAACTGTCATACTTCTGTAATCTCTGGTTATCAAATGCAAGTGAAAATATGAAAGCACCKATAACTTTAGATACAGTTGCATACTTACAGTGGAATAAGGCAGCTGTGCACTCAACCCATTTTTCTGCACACCTCCATTAGTCCATTGTTGGGTGTAGCTCTGGCCTCTCAGCAGTTGTATCTCTTGTTTAAAAGCATAACACTCCTGAAAACAGGATTATGGTGACATTTAYTTTACAATTCAGTTCTCAAAATGGGCACTTCTACCTGAAACACACACTCAATGCATTTCATTCTTACCTCTCCCTCGAAATTTTCATTGTACGTTCCCCATTCTAGTTTCACTGGCATGGGATAAATTCCCAAACTGAAAAGAACTACATATACATCACAGAGGGAAGAGCAATGCACTACAAATTTCATACCTAAATATACTCCAAGTATGGGCCTGTAACTCTCCCTCACTCTGTCAGTCAACACAAGGTCCAAGCCAATAYAGGCTGTTGATTAGTTTTATGCACTTCTTTCAAGGTGCTTTATGAATGGTAAATGCTACTCATCCTCACAGCATTTYCTTCAAGGCTGAACTGAACAAAGTATAATGGACATAAACCCACATACAGTAATTCTTCTACCTCTGTATCTGCAAATAAAGCTAYAGCTCTTCCACCAAACATGATCAGCAACAAACTTGAGAAAAATACTGCTTAGGKAACGCATTTTTGGTAATATTAGGTATAGCACTTCCCTTTTCTCCTCTTTTGCAACTCTATACCAACTTTTATAAAGCCTAATGTTTAATGAAATTATGAATCAAAGGAGAAGAAAATAATCTCAAAGACAGCTTCTTTTATAGACTGACATGAAAATCCCATTAAAGCCCATGTTGCTTTGATAAAGCTAAAAATCACTGCAGAACAACAGGAGTTACAACTRTACCTCTACTACAGTCTCTATTTCCCTTCTGTTAGGGAACCTCCACCTTAAATAAGCCTATCCTCTAGATGTTAAATATATGCAATTACTACTGGCATCGAAGTAAGCTAATTTTTGCTGGAAAAGCAGTATTGTTTTCACACCCCCAAAATTCATCCAGTAGGGACTCCTTGAATGAACAAATGATCCTAGTTCATAGAAGAATCAAAATGACAAGTTAAAAATGGGTTAGCATCCACTTAAGTATTTCAGCCAAATTACAGACATGTAATGTCTGCTGTCTGCCGTGCATCATGCAGCATTTTAKTAAAGGGCAAACCTTGCAATTACAGCGCACCTCAACTTTAAGATGTCATCCCTTTACTAAAATAAGGCAAATAAACAGAAAAAAATTAAAATAACTTGGGTGTAAAAGTGTTTTGTGATATTTTTCTTCACACTGGTGCTACACTATTCAGGACAGGCAACATATAGAAAATGAAAAAGTAAGTGTATGCACTTCTGCCCTTTACAGTGTCTTCCTGTCCTTCTCAGACACGAAGARTATTCTACTAGGCACAGCATGAATGGTCAACAGGAGAAAAATTATCTGACTATAAAAACATCTCCTGGACATAAAAGGCATAGATTACAACATCCATAGATAAGGTTTCTGAAGAAAGGAATATCTGTCTGTATTTATGTATATGCTGACACCAGCACACATTTCATTTTTTTCAATAATTAGTAAGACAAGAGTACGTATGTTCCATTTCATTGGGTTCAGAACAAAGCACAGAGTAAAGGCAAGATGGACTTCTATAACCAAGAATTTCAACATCCAGTCCTCCATCCACTACATGCCAAAGCCCCAGACTGACATAAGCCTTCATCACGCAGAAGCTAGACCAAAAGCCATCTAAAGTGATCTGAAAACAGATCGCAGTCAAAGCTATAAACAAAACCCGCACATTATCATTCACACGATATGCAAATAGTTTTCAAATTTATTCCTAAAGAGCAGAGGAGGCCGTGGTCAGCCCCAGGTGGTTTCCACCTGCTCCCCCGCACCCCAAATCCGCACCGAGACTGCTCCCGCTGTCCGCCCGGACCGGCAGCAGCACCGCCTCCCCTCCCCGCACCGGACCAGACCGGGCCGGGCCGGGCCAGCCCCGCAGCCCTTGGAGCAGCACCGCCTCCCCTCACCGGACCAGACCGGGCCGGGCCGGGCCAGCCCCGCAGCCCTTGGAGCAGCATCGCCCGGCGCCGGGCCCAGGACTCTTTATGAACAGAGAGAGGCCGCGGAGCGGGGAGCGCCGCCCGGCCCCGCAGAACCCAGCGCTGCCCCTCTCCCGCGCCCCGGCCGCGCTTCGGGCTCGCCAGGGCGAGGGGCACCGGCAGATGCCGCTTCCCGCAAGCGCTGCCCTCGCACGGTGCGCGCCCGCCCGGGCCCGTGGCCGCAGAGCTCCGCCCGCAGCGCACGCCCGAGGCGAGAACGGCGGAAGGCGGAGGGACGAGGGGCTGCGACGGCCGGCCCCACCTGTTCAGCCGGGGCTCGTCCGCGTCTCACCTGTTCGGGGCCGGATCCCCCCAGCAACGCCCACGGAGCCTCTCGGGGAGAGGGAGGCGCCCTCAGCGCCGGCGAGGACGCGGCCCAGCCCGGCCGGGCCCAGGGGCGGGGTYGGGGCGCAGGGCCTGACGCGCGCTCCGCCAACCGCCTCCCGCGCGGGAGCGCGCGCCACTGCCCGCGGGGGCGCGCGAGCGCAGGTGCTGCTGTGCCGTCCTTGGCCGCGCCCGCCCCGAGCGCGCCCCCTGGCGGTGTCAGCGCGCCCCCTGGCGGTGTCTGCGCGCCCCCTGGCGGTGTCAGCGCGCCCCCTGGCGGTGTCAGCGCGCCCCCTGGCGGTGTCAGCGCGGCTCTTGCGCGGCTCCTGCGCGGGGTGAGGGCTCGGGTGCCTCGCAGGCGGGCGAGCTCGGGGGGTCCGGACAGAGCTTCCAGACAGCCCGAGCATCCCGCAGAGCAGCGCACCCGCGCTCCCTCCCGTGCGAGGCCGGGCCCCGAGTGAGGCTTTGGCCGCAGCCGGGCACAAGTCAGTGCCAAGTGCCCGGGCCACGGGCTGGGCTGCACCTCTCACGTAAAGTACTGTGAAATGGTGTTCGCTGCTGATGGGGGTCTCATGTAGCAGGAACAACCTCTGACATCTTGGGTAGAATCCCTGCTCTGCTAATAATGGAATCATCCAGTACTCGCTCCTTATGAAGGTATCATAATGAAAACAGGAAGCCTCTTTTTTTTTTTTTTTTCCTTTTGTTCCTATTTTAGCCTTCTGCTATGCACAGCACCTTAAATGACCCCTACATGACATATTTTAAAAAATCAGTCAGCACCCTCTGGTGGAAAAGAATGCATAGACAAGTAATGTTACTTTAGACAATGTCATTAGCAATACAATCCCCAAAATTTTAATGAAATGTTTCTGTCTGCCGTTCAACTGAATTTTGACAATATTCAATTTAATATTTTCCTAAACCCATGCAAAATACAATTGTGCCATGCTATTTCATATAGTTCAGGAAATGTAACATCCATGGGATGCTTAATTTTCTCTGCATGATTATTGCTGGAAGAGTATTAATTCCATGTGTAGTGTTCACTGGCTATTCTAGCTTCCCCTTAACCTGTGTTCAAGAAGTTGGCATTATAAAAAGTTAAGCCATGGGGCATGTGTCTGCATGTACGCAACGATCAGGTGAACAGAACCGATTCTTTTTAACCTAATCAAATTTATTTCCTTAGCCTTCTTAAGAAAACTTCTTCACAATTCTTTGTCTTCTATTTCCTGCTTTGCTGAAAGTGCTATTTCATAGCACTTTTTAAACAAATATCCAATCTCTGTTTTTCCCTTAATGCTGAATTCAGATATGCCGAGAGATGTTTGGGTATTTCAGAATGTTCATAGAACCAAAATTGTTGGGGTTGCAAGAGACTTAAAAGCTCATCTCATTCCACTTCCCTGCCATGGGCACAGACACCTTCCACTGTCCCAGGCTGCTCCCAGCCCCGATGTCCAGCCTGGCCTTGGRCACTGATCCAGGGATCCAGGGGCAGCTGCAGCTGCTCAGGGCCTCCCCACCCTCCCAGGGAACAATTCTTTCCCAATATCCCATCTGTCCCTCCCTCTGGCACTGGGGAAGCCATTCCCTGTGTCCTGTTACTCCAGGYCCTCGTCCCATGTCCCTCCCCAGCTCTCCTGGAGCCCCTTGAGGCACTGGAAGGGTCTCCAAGGTCTCCCCAGAACTCCTCCAGGTGAAGGTGTCCCCAGCTTTTTCTGGCTGKCTGTCTGCACAGCAGAGATGGTCCAATCACCCTGGGTGAAGTGCTCCAGGTGGGGGTCTCATGGGAGTTACTTTAGTTTATAAAGTGCTAAAGGAATGAAGTACTTTTGTTGAAGATCTTCGCTGAAATAACCTGAAGTACTTTCCGTTTCATTAGGCACAAATTGTAAACAAGCAAGTAAGTTGAAGTTTAACCACACGTACTGTACTATGACACTGTAATTATTGCCACGGATTGCAACTTTAAACAAATATGACCTACCCAATGTCAACTGGTGCATCCTTAGGTRCAACTAGATAAATGCTAGAAAAATGCTAGAAAACAGGCTGAGTTATAGTAAAACTGGATAAATTAAGTGCAAAGGATATCAGAATTATTCTAATAGTTAGAGGCATTTTAAAAATCTTATTGTATGACACCTGTGTCAGCACCCAATACACAGGCTGTGTGCTGCAAACACATCCAGGATGTTTACAGGGCAGGTGTTAAGGGCCATGTCATCTCACACTCTTCCAAACTCACACGTCTGCTGCTGTTACTGGTCTCTGAGTGGAAATTTATAAATGAAGGAAAAGCAGCAATATTTTCTGTGGGACCTGCCGAGCAGGGTGGCTCTAAGTTAACTTCATAAGCTCCACGGACATAAGCTTGCTGCATCTTATTTCTGACCCTGCTAGCTGCCTGACCAGGGTAAGCAATTCTCCCAAGGAAACCAAAGCAAGACAAGTGTGGAATACAAGCAGCATGCCATGTTCTCTCTGCTCTCCAGGTAAAGGCAACAGTACATTTACTCCTCTCCCAATAGTCAGGTCTTGTTTACCCCATTCTGCCTTACTCTAAGTTTCAGACTGTATAAAGGGATTTGAAGGGAGGTTTTGCCARAACAGGTACTCTGACACCATCCATAAGGGACTCAGGGACTAACCCCCTRAATTCCAGTCCCTCCAAATCCCATGCTCAGTCAGGATAACCATGGCCTACAGCTGCACTGGGGTTGCTCCTGTAAATTCAAGGTTGCAGGCGAGGAGGAGCATCAGCCCTACTGATTCATGGGGCAGAACATAAAATGTAAATGCTTCTGTGGGAATGAAGCAGGGTGTCCCTTCCAACAGACCTGCCTTGGAGCGGAATGAATGGATTACCATCACCTAGCCGGGATTTTGTTTCGCTTTGGAAGCTCAATGAGGTTTTAGAGCACAAAACTCAAATAATCATCTGTTCAGAACTAAACAATGCTGGCAAAACAAAGATACTTCAAGAGTACTTGTGCCTGAAGACTTTTGATGTCTAGTTGGTACATGAGTATTAAAATGATTCTTGTGACACTTCAGGAACGGCATCTAAAATGCAAGGCCCTTAGTAATTAAAATATCTAAATGCAGACACTGACACGGCAGATTTGCTCTAGAAGCATTTTAATTTACAAACAGCAATTCCAATTGACTTTATACAATAAAAAAAGCAATTTACAAGCAAGAAACAAATTCATCAGAACAAAATAAAGCAGCACAGAAATATTCATGTCACAAATCTAAAAACAAAGTGAATACAAGAGTAAAATATCATTTGAATAAATATTTTAAAGTTCATGCTATAAAATAATCCTTAATGGCAAGTTACTAATTGTTACAGCATCAGCTTAGCTAGCTTCATTTACTTCATGTGGCAATGAAGTGCAGAGGTGTGAGGTTCCTGGTTTATATTGCAAGATAATGACACCAAGTCAAGTCATTCAAACTGTTCAATTATTTATCTTGAAAAACAACCATACAAATAAAAGTTATTTAAAAATACAATTTTTCAGTCAGAAACAAACACTGTTAAATTCGTGCAAGAGCTCTACCTCTAAGCAGATCTACAAGCAGAGGCTCTGGGTCTGAGTCCAAAGGCTGAATCCTGTGGCAAGGGGAGAGTTCTGCATCTGCCAAGGCAGGAGTGAGCTACAGACCAAGAATCAAACCTGCTCAGTCAGTGACACGTGGCGTCACATCCCCTGAAGAAATACAGGAACACATGTCCCAGGCTTACTTATTTGTTTAGCTTCTTTTTTTTTTTTTAAATGTAAACTTGCGTAACTTAATGCTGCCACAGGGGATGTGCAAGTAGTATTAAATCTACAATATTAAATACAACTATTCTGGCACTTGATAAAATATATGTAAAATTCACAAAWATTATAAAGTTTGAACATTTTGAATGACTTTACTAAACTTCCAATTCGATCACTGAGTATTATGAAATTTACAATTCATGAAATAAAGAGATTCATATAAAGAATTTACATAATTCCCCAAATACTTTCAAATATAAAATTTAATAAATAACCCTGACCAGTCAAAAAGCACCATTCAAGGGTAAAATTCCCTTGGAAAATAGATTAGGTGTTGCATATTTGAGTCCCTTTCAATGGTTTCATGTGAAACCAGTTTAGAAAAATGACAATAAAAGAATCACAGTAAACTAATACAAAAATTCAAATAATATATATATATTTAAAGGTAAAGCTTATTCAATATTTTCCCAGCCCTTGATTTTACTCCTGTTGTTCTTCCCATAATTCAGCCTAAACATAGTAAGAGGCCTCATTGTTTTCTCTAAAAGTAAACCAAAGGCTTCAGCATAAAACATTAATTTATGCTGGGAAGACTGCATCAAAACTCTCAATTTAGGCCTACAGTCTACCCTGCTGACAGTGAATTGACAGTATCCTTTATGCTACAAGAAGATTTCACACTCAGAAAGCAGACCCAATCTTGAGGCCTTAATGACCAAACCGAACTTTTAATGTACTGTATTTACAAAGCTATTTCTTAAATGTATTTACAAGTTTAGAAGAAATAATATGGAATATAACTGATAAAAACCCCTAAAATAATAGTTTAAAACCACAAACATTAGCAAAGGTATAAAATCCTTTATTTTCACAGTTTGTAAGAATAGACTAAGCATCTACAGGAAAGGACACTGTCACTGCTTTCACATTTGTCTAGAATTAAAAAGGTAGATTAAGAAGAGACTCAATTATGAACCAGCCTGTATAATTTCATGATTTATTTTGCTGTCAAATATTCTTCACCTGTTTTATTGACTTCTGCATTTATTGTAAATGAAATGTGTACCAGCTCGGTGCTGAGAATTGCACAGACATGAGACACTTGACAGTGYTCCCATCATTTGCCCAAGGAACGGCCCCGTTGGGCTGGGCCATGAACTCATCAGGCTGAGCCTGGCTCTGTGCCAAGGCTGGTCCTGGCAGCCCAGCAGGTGACAAGGCACAGTGGAGGGGCTGCTGCCAGGGTGATGGGGCTGCATGGAC